TTAAGGAATTCTGATATTTTCCACCATTTCTTTAAATCTTCCTTTCTGGAGAAATGGGGGGAGGATGGAGCCTGTGTGAATGTGTGTGTGTGTGTGTGTGTGTGTGTGTGTGTACATACATATATACACAGATACACATGAGCACACACATATATATACATATGAATGAAGCAAAAATATCACCCAGTGATCTACTCTCTCCAGGAAGACTGGAAACCAGAAGATTCTGGAAATCTGCTAAATCTTTCAGGGACCCATAAGTCACCTGGACCTTTAACTGAGGCAAGAACTGTAGAAACCCAAGTCCAAAAGGCTGCTTTGTTTCTGTCCAGTAGGATTTCAATCCGGAGTCACCTGACTCCTTTGCCCCAGTCTCCTTGTCTAGAGATGTCCTAGGTCCTTAACCAAAGCATTGCCTGTTAGGGATCCTCTTGTCTCCAAACACTCTGCCCACATGAGCAGAGGGCTCCTTTCTTATGGGGATCCCCCAAGGACTCCAGAGTTCAGGGTAGGTTTATAGGGCAGGTGATAAACTAAAAATAGACCACATACACTCTAAGTCACGAGTCAGTGTGTTTAATGCCATAAGGCCTCAGACTAGAACTTTCAAACTTCTAGGTTCATCATTCATGAAAGTAAATGACAACACTGAATTACTTTAGGAGAGTCTCAACCAAGGCTGTGAAACTTAGCATGAGTGGAACATAACAGGAATTAGTCCTTTATGATTGTGAAGAATTCCAAATAGCTTAAGCAAACAGAGGGAATGTATTGACTCCCCCGCCCGAGCCAGGGAGAAAGCTGCAAAAGCTGTCTCTTTATGGGTTTTGTTCTCTCCTAAGGGCTGATGGGCAAAGGGAGGTCTGTAGGCAGACAGCTCCGTTCTCTCCTAAGGGCTGATGGGCAAAGGGAGGTCTGTAGGCAGACAGCTCCGTGCTTACGTCATCGTCACTCAGCATCTCCTGAGGAAAGAAAGTTGATCCTCCCAATATCTGTAAAGCCACAGGACATTTTTCTGGTCGGTATGTCTGGAATCAGGCATCTACACTTTAGGCAACCACTGAGGACAGGGGCATGGAATCTATGAATGACACTGGATGAGGGATGGGACAGGAACTTCAAGGAAGGAAGGGCGGTCATTACCAAGAGCAGGGGGCAAGGGACACTGTGCTTACACACAAAAACACAAGTGTTTGTCCCACGTGCATAAAATACATTCAATAGTCACTCCATCTTTCTCTTCTCTTGCCTTCAGACTCAGCTTTTTGGAGCCTAGGTGCTAATTGGAGGAATCCTGAGTCATGATTCTGATGCATGTTTTCCCACACGACCAAGCAATTCTCTGATTTTCGGCGGACCCTGAGTGGGTGCCTACAATTCAGCTCAGTTTCTGACACTACCCAGAGATAGCATCAGCTCCCACAGGTGAAAGGCTCCCTCCCACAAGACTGCCCCCTCTTTAGATGTCACCTGCTAGTTCAGCTTGTCCCCTGTACTCCTAACTGGCTATAAATTGGGGGTTCCCACAAAGCCCTCTTCAGGTTTGATTAATCTGCTCCAGCGGCTCAAGGACTCAGAGAAACATTTACGTACATTTACCAGTTAATTATAAAGGACATAAATGAACAGCCAGCTAAGAGGTCCATAGCGTGATGTCTGGAAGGGTCTGGAGCACGGGAGCTTCTGTCCCCAGGAACCAGGGTGCGCCACCCTCCCGGCACACAGACATGTTTACCAACCAGAAGCTCATCAAGAGTCCTGTCATTCAAGAGCCCATACGGAGTTTAATCTGCCGTCACTCACACCCACCTCCTTCTCTTTCCCACAGGTCATGAGTGAGCCTGAAAATTCCTGCATTCTGATCCCTGGGCCTTACTGGTGACCAGCCTCCTCCTGAGGAAATCTAGCAGCCCCAAGCTAAGTCACCTCATTAGCATAAACTCAGGTACCCTCCAAAGGGGCCCACTATGAATGACAAAAATATTCCTGTCACTCCGGAAATTCTAAGAGTTTTAAGCAGGGGTCCTGCATATACTTCTGTACATTTTGGGGGCTCAGGAGTCCCTGTGACCTCTGCCTGCCCTCCCAGTCCCCGTGACTGACCTGATCCCCAGGTGATGCAGCTCACTTGCACCAGGGAGGGGACCCAAGTTCATCGGCTCACTGGGCCTATTGTCGGAAAAATAGGGAGGAGGCTGACCTACTCTCCTCAGACCCAGCCTGACATCCTCCTGGCAGTGGCTCCCAGAGCCAGCTCCCCTGGCCATGCAGATTCGGAACTTTGAACCTGTTCTCACCTCTGAGGCCTGCTTGTGCTTAGCCTGTGGCTCATGGAATGATGTGAGGTAACATCACTGTGTGCCAACCGTTGTTCTAAGCACTTTTGTTATATTATTTTATCTGATACTCACACTGCCCTATGTGGTATGTATACGGTTGTCCTTCCCTTACAGATGAGGTAAAGGGCCACCGAGAGGATAAATAATTCCCTTTAGGTCACAAGGCATCCAAGTAGCAGAATTGAGAAACAGCAGGTATTAAAGGGGCGTGGCTACGCACACAGAGTCTGAAATGAGACGGGCTTTATCATACCTTGTGCCTTGGGCAATTTGCTTAGCTTTTCTGAGCCTCAGTTTCCTCGTACTAAAATGGAACTTGAAATTCTCCGTATATTCCGAGACTTTTCCTCAGTCCCCTTCTTGGCCTGTACTCTCCTCCTAGGTGCTCCTGTTCAGACTTGGACCTTCTATGTGCGGACGATTGCCAAAGTTAGATCTTCAGGCTCGTGATTTCCCCCCAAACTCCTGCCTCTTGAACATTTCCACTTGAATTTTTCCATCTCACATTTAGCAAAATGGAACTCTTGCTTTTCCTCTCCAATTCTCCGCTGCTGCCCCGCCCCACCACAAGCCCAGTCCTCCTGGTCTCAGTGTATGGTACCACCCTCTACTCGGCAGCTCAGGCTAAGAACCTAGAATCTAAATTGCATACTTCTTTTTGCTCACCCCACAATCAATCTTTCATTAAGTCCTATTGGCTCAACCTCCAAAATATACCCTGAATTCTGGTCATTTTCCCAGTTTCCACGGTCACAGATGGAGTTTCGGCCCAGAACCTCAGCCTGGATCAGACAGCCTTCTATCTAACGAATCTCCCTTAGTCCATCCCTGTGAATTAGATCATTTTCACGTCCCTGCTGACAGCCCACCCACGACTTCCCACTGCTGCAGGATAAGCATCTAGACTCATTTCCGCGATCTATCCAGTCCTACTTCACCTAGGCCCTGCTTCCACCTCCAGACCCTACTACCTGCTCTTCCCTCCTGGTTTTGTGACAGCAGGTCGTTCACCTATTTTGGTCACATGCTCCATTTCCAGGGCCTAGAACAGTGCCGGCAATGTAAAAGCAGCTTAATATGTATGTACTTGTTGTATGAATGAAGGAACTGCATGGGGGCCTCACGGGCCTTCTCTCGCTCCCTCAAATCCACCATGCTTTTTCCTGTCTTTGTATTTGCTCTTCCTTCTCTGCTTCCAGCACTCTTCCTCAAGCTCTGCATGGCCACACCCACCCCATTCAGATGTGGACTGAGATGCAGCTCCTCAAAGAGACTTTTCCTGATACTACAGCAGAAGCAGCTCCTACTCCCTAGGGTGCCATCCCGTTACCCTATTTTCCAAGCTCCTCAAGTTACCTTGTTTATTTCAGTCATATTGCCTGACTCTACCCTCCCCCTTCCCCGCCCAACTCCCAAAGGAGTCTTGAGGACAGAGACCTTGTCTGTCCACTCTTTGCTATATCCCAGCATCTAGAACAGTGCTTGGCACATAGTAGGTGCTCAGTAAGCGTGGTGAGCTGACCGATGAACACTTATCATTATGAGGAGTAAACATATTAAAACCACCTCTTCGGAAAGCTGAAAATTTCTAATAAAGAGAAGCACCCCCTTAGAAGGACCAGCTATCCTACCCTAGGTATAGACTCCAGAGAAATGAGCACCTACATCCAGAAATTGCCTTGGACAAAAATGCTCAGAGCAGCTTTATTCATCATAGTCAAAACCCGGAAATAACCCAAATGTCCATCAAGAAGGGAACTGACAAATTGTGGCCTATTTATACAATGGAATAAGAAGGGCTTAACATAACTGAATCTCACAGACGACGTGTTGCTCAAAAGAAGCCACACACAAAAAGGACATACTGTGTGATTCTATTTATACGAAATTCAAGAATAGAGAACACTAATCCTGACTGTGCCCGGTGACCCCTTTCCAGGGCTACTCGTGGGCTGATTGGTGAGCACAGCCTTTGTGCTAGGCGGAAGTGAGACAAACCCCTTCGGAGGGGAAGGATTTGCATTAACAAATGGCGGAGGGGTCAGTGCGGATCCTGTGGGTGGAAAGAATGTCGATGGCCTGGGTAATTTTGGAAAGCTATGTGCAAGGCTGCCCTGGCCCACAAAGGTTTGTGGAACAGCTGGAAAAACACAGAACTTTCAAAGAACACCAAAGAGGATGCTGTGGCTTCACGCAGGAATCAGATCTCAAAATGTAAAGCGCACGAAGAGGGCGACCCTACCGGCGGCGGTCGCCACGGCGGCGGCAGGCAGGTGGGAGGGACCTGGGAGGCTGGGGGGAGGGGAGCAGCGGATCTTCTTCCTGTTCCCTGGGCTCTTGCCTCCAGGGCTGCCCGGGTGAAGGTGTTCTTCCATCTAGTGGGGGAGCAAAGCCCCTTTGGGGGGCCCCTTTCAGTTCATCTGAAACTATGCAAAGCGTGAACAAAACAAGAAGAGAATGGTTCTGTGATCCGCAACTACTTAATACGCAGGGAGGTATCTACTTAATAACCAAGAAATCAAGCTTTCCTTTATAAGAACAGCCCCCAGAGGCAGCGCACACAATGGCAGAGGCCCTCCGCCCCCCCCCCCCGACCCCCGCACCCCTGCATCCACATTGCAGCCACTTCCCCATCGTCCATCTGTCCTTTTTGCAGCAAGGCCTTCCGCGGGTTGGGAAACAGCCATCGAAATGAACAGTTCAGGGTGTCACCCAGAACCTTGTGAAACCTGAAGGAAAGCTGAATTCAGAAAACGTGACAGGTAGGGCCGCGCACAGCCTCCGGAGCCCTTGGGAATGCAGACAGCCCCTCTCCCCCCACACCCCGCCGGGGCTGTTTGGTTATGTTGGTAATTACGGTAATTATGCACAGGTATTTAGTGTGGTTTCTCTCTTCAAATACACTTTACCCAAACTGATCGAAAAAATTCTCCACCTTCTGGAAGGAACATTGGGAATGTGTTTTCCTGTTCTCAGTGATGTCCAGTTTAGAAAAGGGAATTTGGTGAGAACTACTCAGAACAAGGGCATAAGGGCAAGAGAGGCTCCCGTGTGTCCTTCTCGTCATCTGTCGGTTCAAAAACACGTGCCTTCTCACGGAGAGCTCCTCAGCCCCAAGACAAGCAAGTAAAGGAGGTGAGAAGTCAAAAGTTGGAAGCCATGGAAACTTGGATTTCAGTTTGAATCGGAATTTTGCGTAGTCAGTAGCTACAGGTGTGATTTCAAGAGCGTAACCTATGAGCTCAGTATCTGTGGGCGTGACAAGAGTCTGTGAATAAGCAGCGATCAGGCAGCCAAGAGACAGGCCAGGTATCATCCCAGCCAAGCAATAACCTGTCACAGTGGCTCAGAGACCTGAAGGAAAGACCCCATCAAGCCCGGATCTTATCCATTAGGGAAAATGGCTGAAGCAAAACATGCTGACAATGAATTCTATCAAACCAGATGAAGCATAACTAGTTTTAGGTAATTAGATGAGATATAAGATTTTTTCCCCCGTTCAGTCCTCTTAAACCTCTGAGGGACTTGCTAGCTTTCATCCCAAGGGTTTTGGTGTATTGTCCATCAAGATTCCTCGTCACTGGGGTGACTTGGTACCTCAACCCTCCGCAACAGGTGGGTGATCAGAATAAGAAGGTGGAGCAGGAGACAGACCCAAGCAGGACAGATCCATTGACATGCGGATGCTGAAAGAAAGAAGCTTTGTTAATGACTTATTTTTCCTACTGAGATTATTATGGGAGCGTAGACATCTGATGGGGGGGTAGGAAGAGCTTCCTGTAGGATGGAACCAGGCAGAGAGGAGCAATGATGAGAGTCTGATAAAGAGAGGTCTACGCAGTGGTTCTCAGCGTGGGCTGCACGCTGGAGTCACCCAAGGAGCCTGACACCACCAAGGGCTGGGGCCAGCCCCAGGAACCTGTATGGAGTCTGTCTGGGTGCAGCCTGGGCCTCCAGACTTTTAAATACCCTCTGGGTGATTCTTAGGGACAGCCACAGTCTGTGAACTGCTTTCTGGAAAAACCGCCTCCCACCCTTGGGGCCTCGATTCAACATCTATCTCCTCCTGGTCCTGGAACCCATCTCATGCCCTCTGCTATCTGTAACTTTTCCTTTTTTGCTTAATTTAGTTGGAACTGAATTTCTGCCACTAGTGGCCCAAAACACTAAACAAAAACGAAATTGGACAAAAACAAAAACTAAACAGACTAATCATTGCTAACACCTACTCAGCATGAGTGACATGTTAGGCAGTTTGAAATGCTTTTCCTCCGTTAACTCATTTAATTTCATCCCTACGTCCCCGGAGTTAGAAAAACCATGATTATCCCTATTTTACAGAGAAGGAAAAGAGACTTCAAATGATGACGTGACCTGCCTGTCCCAGCCTGTAAAAGCAGAGCTGGAATGTGAGCCCAGAAACTTCCTTAATCACCATGCTTCAAGGAAAGGCCAAGAAAGGAGGTACATGCTCTGCCCAAAGCCCAGAAGCGGAGTCTCGAAGCAACCAGAATAGGAACACTTTTTTTTTTTTTTAAGATGTATTTATTTATTTATTTATTTGAGAGAAGGCCAGACAGAAAGAGTGCGCATGTGCTTGCAGGAGTAGGGGTGAGGGGCAGAGAGAGAAGCAGACTTCCCTCTGAGCCAGAGCCCTTCTAGGCTCCTGGGGCTCCTGGGGCTCTGGGGGTCTTAATCCCAGGACCTGGGGATCATGACCTGAGCTGAAGGCAGAGACTTAACCATCAAGCCACCCAGGCACCCCAAGAATAAGCATATTTTTATGAGGAAGAAGCTTTTTGGTCATAACAGATAACTCAGCTTTCACAGTTACTTACCATATCAAAGAATGGAGCCAGAGCAGTTCCAAGCCTGGCATTCAGGGGCTCACTTTATGTTATCTCGGGTATCCCCTTTCACTCCACCTTTCCGCTCTGTTCTCCTCTGTGCACTGGCCCCTTCCTCAGGCCGGCTGTCCTCAAACTAGCCTGTGGTGGCAGACCCCCGGACAGCATCTCTTCACAGGGTGATCCCAGGCAGAGAGATCTACTGTTAAGGCACTGGTGTCTCTTTTTATTGGGTAGAAACACCTTGTGCCAAAAGGTCTCCTGTAGGATTCCTCTCGGGCTCCATCCCGGGAAAGGGGAATGAGAACATCAGAGTTTGCTTGTATCTGCGGTTCTCAGCGGGGGTGGTGAAGCCCTTTGGAGGAGCCCATCGTCAGCAGGTGCGGTGACTCAGAGAGCTTTGCCCTTTCATACCTGCAGATGTCCTGGCCAGCTCCGGTGAACACCCCGCGGTGCGTGGGACTGTCCGTTCTTGCGAGCGGCATGAGTTTTGAGCATCTCGCTGAATGTTGTCACAGGTGAGGACACTGTTCAGAATGATCTGAGCTAAAAGCTACTTCTCTTTTATCTGTAAACCCAAAGCATTTAAAAAATACATTGTATTTTCCAGGAAAGCGACTACTGAGTATATCAAGGGAATGAATAACCCTGCTTGGTTTTGTTCAGAACTTTTGGAAAAGTCGTTCACCGTCATAGAAGATGACACGAGCAATGCCCACACCACTCACGGAATCCGAGTCTCCACACGGCAAAGCTGCGTGGCCCTGCCCTGGGGGCCTCCAGATTCACAAGGGCTCTGGGTCTGCACCCTCGCTCCTGGGACGTTCTTACTTATTTCTTACAAATATGGTCCTGCGGAGTGCTTGCCTGTTGAAATACACCTTATTTTATTGTAAGTTATTTTCTTTTTGAATTCTACTTTGCATCTCTGCTCTGGCGGTTGCTTATCCACAAAAGAAATTGATTTCTCCCAGTTCTGGAGGCTAGAAATCCAAGATCAGTGTGCCAGCAGATCAGGTTCTGATGAGGGTGTTGGGACAAAGTGGAGTTCTGGGACTGGCAACGTGGGGGGCGGACCACTGCCAGGCACTGTCACCTCCTGGGCCCTTTCTGGATAACCAGTGGCTTCCCAGCTTCTGCTGGTTGTGCACCCTGTGGACTAACGAAATGTCATACAAGGCTCAGGGGCAGCGCCAATTAAAGGGGAGCTGGTCTTTTTGGTGGCTGGGAATGGGAGGCCCAGAGGTAGCTACCCACCTTTCCACCAGTCCCTCTGTCGTGGGGGCTCCCCTGAATATCTGCAGGCCTCTGACGCTGAGTCTCAGGGTGCCATCCCTGCCTCAGCCACACCCCTTCCCTCTGGCTCCTCCCTGGGAATCAACCCCATAGAAGCTCCTGCTCGGGGACTGGGTCCCCCTTGCCCTACCCCCAGGGGTGCACTTAGGGAAGACTGCTCTATTCACGCAAGAGATAGGAAGGCCCAGGAGTTTGTGTCCTGCTGTGGGCATGACTTGCAGCTTAGGTTCCTTCCAAATCATTCTGCTTTTGCAGCTTAAAAGTGAGGGAGGGAGGTGCTTGGGTGGCTCAGTTGTTAAGTGTCTTCCTTCAGCTCAGGTCATGATCCCAGGGTCCCGGGATCGAGCCCCATATCAGGCTCCCTGCTTTTCGAGAGGCTTGCTTCTCCCTCTCGAACTCCCCCTGCTTGTGTTCCTTCTCTCACTGTGTCTCTCTGTCAAATAATAAATAAAATCTTAAAAAAAAAAAAAAAAAGTGAGGGAGAACAAGGTGAAGTCACAGTTAAAGAGGCAGAGCATTTAAAACAACAAGCATCCAAATAGGAAAACCCATCAAAATATTAAAAGCAGGGGCGCCTGGGTGGCTCAGTGGGTTAAGCCGCTGCCTTCGGCTCAGGTCATGATCTCGGAGTCTTGGGATCGAGCCCCGCATCGGGCTCTCTCTGCTCAGCAGGGAGCCTGCTTCCTCCTCTCTCTCTGCCTGCCTCTCTGCCTGCTTGTGATCTCTCTATCAAATAAATAAATAAAATCTTAAAAAAATATATTAAAAGCATTAATATTCATATTAATTTTAATAAAATAGTTTATAATATTATATTATTTTTATTTATAAATATATAAATAATGAAAAATTATAAAATTTAATTTTATATTATAGAAATACAAATACATTTATAAACATATCAGTAATTAATTAACATTGATTATTATTAATGAATGAATATAGATATAAATTTATATTTATAAAATATAAATGATTTATTAATTATTTAGTAATTTAATAACATATTTATATTAATATTAATTAATATTGAAACCATTAAAAATTTCATAAAACCAAGTCATAGGCAGATAAGGCCATCAGCTTTCCACTCTTTATGGCAAAACACATGGGTGTTTTGTTTCCATTCCTAAAGGGTGTGGGGTTTAGCATCCCTGCCAGGACTCTTCAGTTCAGAGGTGGTTCATGTTTCCCGCAGAGCCAGGGGCCCAGGACCACTCCAGCTACAGAATAGGCATGGTGGGCACAGACCCAGGGCTTCTGGCGGTACTGAAAACAGAGATGTGGTCCTAGCTCCCACGGGCTACAGCATCCAGGACTATAAGTCCTGGAGGTGTGGCTGAGGGGGCTCAGGACCAGGGCACGGCCCTCACTCAGCCTCCTGAGCCCCTGAGGCATAGAGACCATAGTACTTGCTTATGACCATCAATTTGACAAATATTTATTATTTTCTATTCTATGTCAAGCACTGTACCAAGTGCTCAAGATAGGTATGGCTGAGATCCACATGGGGTGGGATGGACCTCAGCAAGTACCTCTTATAGATGCAGTACTTTTTTTCTTTATGCTTTTCTATATACAAAAGGGGCTTGTTGCTTTAAAAATTAGGGAAAAGCCTACTAAAGTAAGTTATTAGAAACTGTTTTGGAATAAATGTCCATGAAGAAAGTAAAAATGTGGAAAGGAAATACCAGGTAATTTCACATCTGTAATAACCGTGGACTTTGGACTCCAAAGAGGCCTTAGGAGGTGTGGTCAGGAAATCAACACCAGATGGTTCTAAAGAGTTGCTTCTGAGCTGTTACTGTCAAAGAATTCCCAGGAGAAGAACCTTTGCTGTTGGTCAGTCTGGTCAGATTTCATTCACTGACTTGATTATTCATTCAAGAAACCTTTTTTATACTAGATTCTAGGCATGCAGAGATGAACGGGTCGACATCCTGTCCTTGAGAATGCCACCTTCCTGTTGCATGCAGCTTTGCCAGCAGTCATGTTAAAGGTGCCAAAGGAGAATCAGGCAAAAGGTACAGAAAGGACCACAGAGGAAGGCAGGTGCTGTGTCCATTGGGCCGCCATCTTATCTTGTCCTAGAGCACACAGCCTGTTAGGTAGTAGACACTCAACATACTACTGAACAAATAGTTGTTGGGCAAACCGTCATGGATATGGCGATCTGGTCACCTGCACCTTGAGAGATGTCTTTGCTTATTGCCACAGTTCCACTTGTCTTCATTTCTCCCTTGGCAGCGTGAGTAACTTTAAGGTGCCCTCTGACCCACTCCTAACTTCTCTTCACATTCGCTGGATGTCCTGCATTTTCATTTTTCCCACAACGGTCCTTGATTTAATTTCATCGTCCTTTCATTTATACCTGCTCTTCCCACATCCTTTTCTGCTATAAAAGACCATGTCTTGTTGTATCCTCACAAAGATGCAAAACAGTCTTCTAAAATCCTCTTCTGGTTCATGCAGTACGTTGTTTTCAGAAATACGTTCTTCCGCTAGATTTCAGGAGGACAGTGCTTGTCCTTTATCTGAAGTATTCTAGAACTTATCCTGCAGTGAAAGGAGATCTGTCCAGATCTACTGGCTGCCAGAAGATACAGTGGGCCTTTCTCTTGACACACCTCACTGTCCATTTGGATATTGGTGGATTCCTTTTCTCAGGTATTCAACTGGAAGGGAGTATAATGTGCATAGCTTGGAGCAATCTCTAATATCCGGAAAGCATTTACTCCTTTAGTTCACCTCAACAGGATTGAGTCAGAATTTTCTCTTACATCTAGTATCTGGCTTGTTGATGTTCTGAATAGGTGAAATGTGCATACACACACACACACACACACACACACACACACACACACACACCTATATTCCCCAGAATATACTGTTACCAGAACTCTTCCTGTATCTGTCATCCCCAAAGGCATCCTCCGTATTGGAACTATACTTCCCCCGGTGCACAGCTATCATCAGAAATAGGCCTAAGCACCCTCTGCCATCATGCACACATGCACACAACTTCCTGTCTATTGTTTTCTGGAAACATATTTATTAAACTAGGACTTGCAGTTTCTAAATAAATGCAGAAAGCGAGAGCTCACTGTTAGTAAGCCTGAGAAGAAGAGAATGGAGTTCTGCCTTGCATCAAAGAATCTGAGTATTTGAGAATGGATTACTGACATCTGGGGGCAATCCAGACCCTCTAAGCCACAGAACAAAAATCTAGAGAGAGAAAAAATGTCTAGCTTCAGGGCGCCTGGGTGGCTCAGTGGGTTAAAGCCTCTGCCTTCGGCTCAGGTCATGATCTCAGGGTCCTGGGATAGAGCCCTACATCATGCTCTCTGCTCAGCAGGGAGCTTGCTTCCCCCCCTCTCTCTGCCTGCCTCTGTCTACTTGTGATCTCTCTCTCTATGTCAGATAAATAAATAAAATCTTTAAGAAAATGTCTAGCTTCCTTCTCTGGCATTATGGGCCTACTTCCTTTGAGGTCATGGGGCATCTATTACCTGACTTAGAGTCTCAAGTCAGCCATCGAAGACTTAGAATTACCTTAGATTCCCTCCAAATTCAGGCAGTGGATTTTCCAATCGTTTTAACTTATGATGGGATTACGAGTTTGTACTGTTTTGTGCATCCTGAATAGGTATTTTAGTAGAAAGTTGAGAGGTTATATTAGGTATTAATAATTCCGTTTAAAATTCCATTTAAAACCAAATTCCATTTAAAACTAGAAACCCTGAGGTATTACATCTGTATTCATTCATTGACTCATTCAACTGCTATTGATTGTTTACAAATCATGTGCCAGGCACTATGGTAGACGCTGATAGTGAAAACCCAGCCCTTGTCCTCTTGAAGGTTACAGTCTAGAAGATTTTTCAGACTCCAAGGAATTATAATACAATATGATAAATTCTTCATGATGAGATACAAGGATAGTCTTCTCTACCCTTCACTCTGGTCCATGAACCAGACACAGTGGGAGAAAACACTGGATTGAGAGGTTTGGGCTCCGTATTGAAGGGTCTTGAATATTGTGTTAATAAGTTTAGACTTTGTGTAAACCTGGCGAATCACAGACCTGTACCCCTGGGGCTAATAATACATTATATGTTAATAAAAAATTTTTAAAAATTAAAAAAAAATAAGTTTAGACTTTAGTGGGAGCCACTGAGGAATGTGGTATAAGGGAGTGAGTGGCCTGATTGAAGCTGTGATTTAGGACATTACTCTAGTAACCAAGTAAAGGTAGACTGAAAATGGGAGAGGAGTGGAGCAAAAAGTTCAGTCGAAGAGGCTGGTCCAGTTGTCCAGTGCAAATGTGCAATGCTGAGCACTTGAATTGAGTGTGAGAGCATTGGAAATAGATAGGAACAAAGTGAGTTCAAGAATCTGGTGATCAGGGCGCCTGGGTGGCTCAGTGGATTAAGCCTCTGCCTTCGGTTCAGGTCATGATCTCAGTGTCCTGGGATCGAGTCCCACATTGGGCCTCTGCTCAGCAGGGATGCTGCTTCCCCCGCCTGCCTCTCTGCCTGCTTGTGATCTCTGTCTGTCAAATAAATTAAAAAATCATAAAAAAAAAAAAATCTGGGGATCAGCTACATGTGGCTATGAGGAGTGGGAACACCAGAAATAACACAAAGGTTCTAGACCCCCGAAGATGGTGGTGTCAGCACCCAAGGAG